TAGATAATAAATCAAATGGGGCAAAACATAAACAAATTGCGAATCTTGGTAAAGGGTGTACAATAGTTCTTTGTACCATTCTTGCAATTTTCTGTATCAAAATAAAATGTTGAAAAGAGGAATAACTCTGGAAGTTGGATAAATGTAGCCTTATGAAGATAAAGTGTGAAATGAATGAACATGCATCCATTTAAGGCGTTTATAAAGAATATAAAATACCAGAATGCAATTTAAAGCTATTTTTTAAACCTTGGTTATGTCTATGTTGGAAAAAAAATCAACTAGATTTGAAATAAATGCTGAAAAATAAAACTTTAATCAGTAATGCTTTGATCACTTCTCTCCTCTCTCAATTTCTTCATTTACCAGGTTATTATAAATCAGCATGTTTTGTTTTTCCGATAGAAAAAGAAACTTTCAAAAAGACCCTTGGTGTCTTTTTTAAGTTGTCCCTGTGCAGCTTACCCCTTTGTATCACACTTGGTTTAAATATGCACAGCCGAGTTGTTGGGGAGTAGGAGTTCTTTCTCCTATACATGAAAAGGCCTCTATCCTAATCAGAGAGAGGGGCAGAGTGGTTTCAAGCAGAAGCCTCCAAGGTCAGGTGGAAGTGGTTTCCAATCCCAGCTCTGCCTATTACTCACTGTGTGATTCTGGGCAAGTGTTCAGCTTCTCAAAGAGCCCTGGTGGTGCAGCTGCTAACTGAAAGGTCTGAGGTTCCAACTCACCAGCCATGGGAGAAAGTTGTGGCAGTCTACTTCCGTGAAGATTACAGTCTTAAGAAACCCTATAAGGTAGTTCTACTCTGTCCTATAGGGTTGCTACGAATTGGAATCGACTCAACGGCAATGGGTTTGGTTTTTTGTTTTTGTTTTTTGGTTTTTGTTCAGCCTCTCTAAGCTTCAGTACCACTACCTATAAACTGAGGATCATACACAAACCTTGTTGGCTTGTTGTGAAAATTTAATGAGATGATGCACTTGGACATGGTGGTTGGCACATGGGAGCACTCAGTAAATGGAGCCTTTATATTTTTCATTCATCCCCTTTGTTAACAAACTGATCTATGCCTGCCTCGTATTACGTAAATATGAGTATCATAATCCACATCCTAATCCAATTATACAGAATTAATCATTAAGAAGAGATAATTCACTTCACTAAATAGATCCACTGCAAGATCTTCTTAAATCAAAAGCCACTGTAGTAATTTAGTTTTTTATTAAATAAATAATTCTCAAACAATTGTTCAAGAATACATGCAATATATAAAAAGAGAACCAGGCCATGATGATTGATATTATTAAACAATTTCAATGTTTCACATTTTAAACAGTAAACATTTAATTATCTGTGTCAGTGCTGAAATTCTAAGTTATAATCAGCTAAAGGAGAGGCAAAGGATACATGCAACTTACCTTCTTCCTTGTCTTGTATTTGTTCATAACAAAAATACTAATGCCAACAATATGACTTGCTATTTTCCAGAGTTGCTGAAACTGATTCACTTATGGAATCAAAAGGCTTCATGTGCCATTTTATTAGTGAGCCAGTGGGGAAACACACTTTTATACATAACTGCAGAAAATAATAAAATTGCCCTTTTGTGTTGCTGTCTGTTTCTTCCTGGAAGCTCCCAGATGACTGTAAGTTTCAGTGAATGATTAAGGTCTTCTTTAGGGTGCAGTGGCCCAGGCGGAACAGGAGATTTGGAGAGAAGAGACTGGCCCTAAGACATTAGAAAGTACCAGTATCAGAGCTGTTCAGGACAAAGGTGCCTCACCTGGTTATTGTGCTGTTGGTGAATAACTAGGGGGAGAGTGGTTCTGAGAAATTGTTCTTGGATGGTGTGTTTTTTTTTTTTTTTTTTTTGATTCTGATACTATTATAACCTTGCCATTAGAACTGAGAAAACAGAAGCCTTTTGCCCCGCAAATCAGAAGGATATAGGGATTTTCCTTTCCTATGAAAGATCGATTGCTAGAAAAGAACATCGTGTTTGGTACAGAGTTGGTGTAAATGAGGAAAATCCTCAGTGAGATGGATTGACACAGTAGCCACACAGCGGACTAAGACATATAGAAAACCATGGAGTTGGCACATAACTGGGCAACGTTTCCTTCTGTTGCACATGAGATCGCCAGGAGTTGGAGCCGATGCCACAGCAACGAACAACAACAATCCGAAAGCAGGAGGGAATGTCTGCTCTGTTCTTAGCCTCCTCCCAACACCCTCTCCCCACCATCCAGGGACAGATTACCCAATAAACAAGGTAAGCATGTGCTTAGGGCATCAACAAAACAGGGGCAAACACCGATAGATGCCAAGTGGAAAGGACACAAGGAAAAGCAAGCACCACAATATAAAGAACTGTCCGGGCATTGAACGGAGTTGATACCAGCTCTAGTGTGTGAGAATGTGCTGGCTAGAAATAAATTTCACGAAAGGTCACAAGGGTGCCCGTGCTCAAGGTTGTTTAAGCTATGAGGCCTCTTCCACTTCAACACCTTCATTGACATCTGTCTCCTGTGGTCCCCTCCTGTGTAACTGAAGCTCCTTATCTCAGCGGGTCTCTTGGGAGTATATTATTTCTTAGTAATAAACAAGAGGTGGAGGTGGGCTTTTGAGTCTAATTCTTGCTACATTCACCCAATGTGTAACTGGATCCAACATGAGCCATTACTAGGCATGGATTGATTACATTAATAGATAACAGGTCTCTGATCCATTTTGAAAGAATCATCTTGTACATCCATGTCTGCTGATCCAGCAACTCCAGCCAGGAGGGCCAGCAATGTTCTCTGCCATGATATAAACACAAGGGTTTGCTCTTGTGCATGTCCTGGTAAAGAACCAATGGGAACTCCAGTCCCATATGATGCACAAAAAGGAGGGAACTGGAATAAGTTGACCATTGCAATGAATTCGATCAAGTTACTTTTTAACTGTATAACATTTACATGCAAAGTTATGTCCGAAGTTTTGTAAACAATAATATCTATAACTTTAACTTTAAAATATGTTTGACATCGATGCGGATGCAATCTAGCATATATTTAATATAATACGAATAATTATTTAAAGTAATACTAACATAGCAAATGTCTAGAAAATACTAGAAATATTAATATTTATCTAACATGAAAAGTTTTCATTTACATATCAAGTGAGTTTTGTTTTTTTATTGTTTGTTATGTGGGACACAGTGCTTGACATTACTCTATATATGCTTATAAAGGAGGTATTTGGCACATTAAGAGGATGCAAAATTCATTATTTATTATGAAAAATACGTTTCTGTTTTACAGCAGTGAGTGTGTTTCTAAATTCATCATCCAAGAAAGCAACAAAGGACATTTATCAGAACATTACATTTATATTTTATCAGAATATTTATGTATCTCCATGTAAAGAAAGTGAACAATTTCTCGAGGAAATAAATTAAATGACTATTTAGATAATAAAAAGTATATAAATGTATTTTATTTTCCATTTACCTTCAGACTGACTTTCTTTTAAGAAATTGATTGATATTATTATGACTCTCAAAAAGAAGAGAAGTGGTGCTATTGTTACATCAATTATGTACGTATCTCTGAATATGGGAGTTGAACAATTTCACAAAGAAATAAAATGTACTTTTTACAGATTTTGTATCTGATAACAATTATATTTGCCTTTTCATTTTAGGCCTGTTGTGTATAACCTCACATTCAGTTCTCTCTCATCACCCACATAAGAACGCACCAGCAGCCCCAAAATCATGTGACTCCTGATGTATCTGGTTCTGTCTTGTGCAAAGTGAACCAAAACAGATCATCAGATTGAGCATATCCTTGTGCTTGTATCATGCTCTTTGAGATTGCTCTTGCTTCTGTTGGGTATCAGCAGTAGTCCAGTGAACCGTGAAGATGCAGCATCAAAGGATGAAAAGTGAATGCACAAGTTTTTAAGTATTATTTCAAGATGAAAAACACTCATGGAGATCTGAGAAGGGCCTGCCAACAAACACAGTACAACAAACGCATGAAATTATTTCTGACTGCCTTTTAAGTACTATTTTTTTGACAGTCTCAGACCTGAAGAACAAAATTACATGTTCCAAATAAATTTTTTTTACTTACTAATTTTCAAATATAATTTTTTTGTGTTAATGTCCAAATTCAAATGTAATTTTTACTTTGTGAATTTTACTTGTTTTATAAATTCACAAAGAAAGGTGTGGCAGCCTGCTTTCGTAAAGATTTACAGCCTTGAGAAACCCTACTTGGCAGTTCTACTCTATTCTTACATGGTCTCTATGAGTTAGAATTGACTCAACAGCAATGGGTTTGCTTTTTTTTTTTTTTTTTTTTTTTGGTTTTTATAAATTTTATTTATTTTTAATTATTCAAATTTATTTGCTATGGTAGAACCAAATTTAAAAAGTGACATAATTTTATATCCAGGTAAAATGAAATGGCAACAATTAATTGGAGTACAAAAATGAAAGCTCACAGAAGATAAAAAGAAACAGATTTGTGCATCCCTAAAGACAATTCCAAAATTAACTAGCTTTAAAAAATGTAATGAATCAGAAGATCCTTCTTTCATTTAACGCTGAAATTTAATGGGTGTAAATGTCGTACTAGTACCGCTAGTGCTGAAATTACTAATAGCAATATTAGTATAACAGGATTAGTTCCAAATTCTGCATCCATTTCTTGCTGGAGTAACAAAAAAAAAAAAATGCTGTATAAAGTAAAACTATTTTAGAATCTGAAATTGTAGCCTCTGAAGACCCCATAAATAGCAGAAATATAGATACTGCTTTGTGGAGTAATTTTCTTCTAATGAAAGAGGGCCAAGGATTGTCAGCATCACAGTGGGATATTTGAAAATCTGTGTTAAAAATTTCTGGATGAAGGGGAAGAGAGACAGATTTGTAAACCCTGGAGCGAGATTCTGCCTGCCTGAGGTCGCTGCTGTGCGGAGACCCCCGGAGTGAAGCCACCGTCACCATGTCTGACCAGGAGGCAAAACCTTCAACTGAGGACTTGAGAGATAAGAAAGAAGAATACCTCAAACTTAAGGTCATTGGACAGGATAGCAGTGAGATTCACTTTGAGGTGAAAATGGCAACACATCTCAAGAAACTCAAAGAATCATACTGTCAAAGACAGGGAGTTCCAATGAATTCACTCAGCTTTCTCTTTGAAGGTCAGAGAATTGCTGATAATCACACTCCAAAAGAACTGGGAATGAAGGAAGAACATGTGATTGAAGTTTATCAGGAAAAAACGGGGGGTCATTCAACAGTTTAGATATTCTTTTTAATTTTTTTTCTTTTCCCTTAATTCTTTTTTATTTTTAAAAATAGTTCTTTTGTAATGTGGTGTTCAAAATGGAATTGAAAACTGGCACCTCTCTTTAAAACATTTTGTATTTTGAATTCTAGTGCTCATTATTACCATTTGTTTCCATTGTGCTGATTTTTGGTGATCAAGCCTCAGCCCTCTTAAAAATTGCATGTGTGCACAGAGAGGTCACCTTTTCCAGGACTGTGCATTTTCAGACTTATGGGATAAATGAGATCTACCAATGCAAGTGTTCATAATGACTTTCCAGTTGGCCCTGAAGTTCTATCATGTGATTGCATCACTCCTGGACTATGACTTTCAGTGGGAGATGGAAGTTTTTCAGAGAACTGAACTGTGGAAAAATGACCTTTCCTTAACTTGAAGCTACTTTTAAAATCTGAGGGTCTGGACCAAAAGAAGAGGAATATAAGGTTGGAGTCATGGTGACATATGGTGAGAGTAATGACTAACTCCAAAGATGGCTTCACTGAAGAGACACATCATTTTAAGATTAAAATAAAATTCTTGCCAGAAGATCCCAGAAAATTCTAATTTTCATTAGCAGTTACTGAAGTTATTCATGCAGAAGTGTATACAACAGAACACTGCTCTTTTTGATTTTCTTTGTACTTTTTGGCCTGGGATATGGGTTTTAAATGGGCATTGTCTGTACCAGCTTCGTTAAAATAAACAAAGTATTTGTAAAAAAAAATTCTGGATGGTAAACAAACAAGGTTCTATAACCGGAATACATTTCTATTGTGCAAAGCTAATGATGAAAATTATAAGAGGGAGAGGCTACTGTATTCTCCATCAGTTTGCTTTGTGTATTGTTTTGTTTACAAACTATTCAGTCCTAAATCATTTAATTCTCAATTTTCTGCAGATGGATTTAGCAATTGGTGCGACTCCAATATGATTGATAAACATGAAAATAGTTCAATTCACAGAGACTGTTATGTTGTCATATTTAAACCAAAGACATGGTTTTGGCTTAACTCATGAACTGGAAACACAAATTAATGAAGAATATCAGTATTAGAAAGGTGTTTTGCAACACATATTTGCTGCCATTATAACAATTGCTGAACTTGGGACTATATTTTCTAGGAAGATATGAAGTGTTTCTGTCCCCACAAAATAGAAATTTTAGGAGTTTACTTGAATTTGTTGCTCAGTTTAATCCATTTTTAGCAGGTCATATCTCAAAATATGGTAACACAGGAAAGGGCAACCCATCATACATGTCTACAGCCATGTGAAGAATTAATAAACTTAGTAAGTGATAAAGTTTGATCAACTATTTTCAGTGAAATAAGTATAGCTCAATATTTCTGTTTTTCTGTAGAATCTATGTCTGATTTTTCTTATATAGATCAGCTAAGTATTCTTTTAAGATACATGTCTCCAACAGATGGAAAATCTGTCATGTGATTTATTACATTTACTAGATTAAAAAGTCATATAGGTGAAGAAATCACAAATCAAGTTCTTCACTATGTTAAGTTTGAAAAGTTAGTTTTTTCTAAGTTCAGAGGCCAATCTTATGACAGTGCTGCCAATATGTCAAGGCATTATAAAGGCATGCAATGGAAAATTTTAGAATGTAATGAATATGCCATTTTCATACCATGTGCTGTGAATTCACTTAATCTTGTAGGGCATAGTGAAGTAGATCGTTGCCCGGAAGCAGCTGATTTTTTTTGTACTGTTCAGTTACTCTACACATTTTTGCCACCTCTGCTCACCAATGGTCAGTGCCTAAAACATATTTAGGCAATGATCCAGTATTAAAATGTCTTTCTAATACATGTTGGGAAGTGCATGCTGTAGCAATGAGTGCAATCCTGGATTCGTACACTGTGAATCTAGATGCCTTAGAAAATAATGCTTAAGGCCAGACACAAAATTGTGATATCAAGAGAGAAGCTGAAAATAACACCAACAAAATGCAAACACTAGAGAATGTGATTATGTTAGTTATGTGGAATAATACATTTCAGCATTTTCATCAGATGTGTCAAGCTCTCCAAGATGCAGAAGTAAATTTAAAGATATGCACAGATTTCTACCAGTCATTAACAGGTATTTACATAATTTAAGAGAAGATTTTGAAAACACAGCAAAACAAATACTGCCAAATACTGATTATCCACCAGCTCACCGTCACAGAAGCAGTAGAAAGAAACAAGTAAATGATGGAAGTGTTCCAGAAGTATTGAGTGCCAGAGATCAATTTCTCATAACCACATACTACACTATCATTGACATATTGAATCTTGTGTGAGAAGAAGGGTGAAAGTGCATGAAGTTCTTTCAAATAGATTTTCCTTCTCAAACAATGTGGACATACTTGATGAAGAATGCATGAAGACATTCAAGAAATTAGCACAGGCTTACCCCTATGACAAATACAAACCCTGATGGAGAAGTGCAACAATTTCATTCTTACATGAGAAGGAAGTTTATAGATTCAGGAAAGACAAATTTTACTCATGTAGGCATGTATTATTCCATAATAGAAGATAAAATACAATGTGTATTTCCCAATGTTGAAATTACTTTACTCATATTTCTAACTTTAATCATCACAAACTGTACAACAGAAAGCACATTTTCATTCCTAAAGAGACTCAGCGTACACCAACAATTCAAGAAAGACTCGATTCATTATCGTTACTATGTATGGAAGTAGACATTGCTCAACAGCTTAATTGTGATGAAATCACTGAAGAATTTGTAAGGGCAAAAAATAGAAAGAAAAGTTTTTAATTATAACATGTTAGAAATGAAAGATCTATCAGATCTTTCTGAAAATAAAATATAGTAATTTGTTGTAATATTTTTTTCTGATCATTAAGTTTTCTTTTATGACATCTTTTCATGTGTTCATTTATAATTATAGCATTTATTATGAAACAAGCATCAAAATTGAAATATGAGCTATTTAAAGCAAAATTGGTGAGAGTCAATTTTTCATTATGGGAAATCAACAGAATTTTACATTGTTGAAACAACTAAGTCCACTGACTCATTTTCATTGTTGAGGATATGTGGAATATTTGTTTTGTAGAAAATGTGGTATATAGTAAAAATCTTAATACCCTGTATCCACTAAAAATTTTATAGTCCAGTTCGTCTCATTCCACTAAAATGCCACTTTTTCATTCAGTCACTAATATCATAACTGCATCATGGATAGCTAAGACACACACACAAGAAGGAAGTCAAAAATTATTGCTATGAAATCATAGAAACCTTTATTAAACAAAAATATGAAAATGCAAAGATATTGTTTCTTGATGTGTCCTCCATCTAGGCCTATACACATCTTAAGGCGGTGTTTCCATCCCTCCAACTCTTCCCAGAAGAATTCTGCTCTCTTTAATTTACATCACATCAAAATGGCAGTTTTGGCATCCTCCAGGGACTCAAATCATGTTCCTTTTAAATATTCTTTGAGTTTTGGAAACAAAAAGCAGTCTGAAGGGGCAAGATCAGGGCTGTAGTGTGGATAGGGTAAGGTTTCCAATGAAATTCTTGTAGGACAGCCCTTGCTACCCTCGAAGAATGAACAGGTACGTTGTCGTGATGGAAAAAAATTCCTTGGAGCAGCTTTCCTGGCCTTCTTTTCATCAATACAGTTTTCAGTTTTCTTAAAACTTCTTCGAAATAAGCTCCTAAGATCATCATCCTGTGTCCTTCCAGAAAATATATCAAGATTACCCGTTTGGAATTCCCAAAAACAGTTGCCATAACTTTCTGAGTGGACTTCCCTCTCTTCACTCATCTTTGAGGTCTTCCTGACCTTCCTTAAAACGCTTGATCCGTTTAAAAACCGTTGTTTTATGCGGGGTGTGTGGTATTTCCATAAACTTGTTGGAATGCTTTGGGAAGATGTCCACTTGAGTTTTGTTAAAAATTGATATTAGCCCTGACCTCAAAATCTTTTTTTTTTTTCATGGCACAAAAGTATCCTTTTTTTTAAGGCATCCTAACGAGACTAAGACAAGTGTATTACTGGGAGAATTTGTCTGGAGCCATCCACTGATAGCAGAGAGGTGTTTAAACATGTTTTGTTTGGAATAAACCTGTGCATGTATGAACTGGAACCCTAGCAGTAATGCTTTTTAAGTTACCCTCCTGCATATATATAAAATGTGTGTGTGTGTGCATATATATATATAACTCACATATCCTGTTTGAATGCGTGAGTAGCAGAGGAGGGGGCACTACAGATTATCAGTGTTTAGTGCCCCCACATGTCTTAGTCTGGCCCTGCCCCCACCCAATCTGTTAGGTCTTATTATTTTCTATAGACGAAGAGGCATCCTACCTGTCTAGGTCTACAAAAATTCTCTGGAGAAACAAAATATTGATGGAGAATTTAAAGGGCAGTGGAAACAATCAAAACCATTAAAGGTCAATTGATCCAAACAGGCTGGCAGTCCTATCCCGTGGGCTCCTCAGCATTAGGAGGGCCCTGCTGAGAGTTACTATGCTGAGGCCGAGTCCAGTCACGCCTGGAATGACTGACACAGAAAATGGTTCTTCCTCCAGCTCAGTATATTTGTCTCAAACCCAGGATGGATCATTTTGGAAACTCTTTCCTCTGTAAAGTGTCTTGACTTTTCTATTAAATGGTTCATCAGGTAAAGACTCTCGTATGTGGACATGGTTGATTATACTGGTTCTTCAGAAAGTGAATAATTAATTTCTTGAAGAACCTCTTCTTTTGGGGTAGGTACAAATGTCTTAAAGATCTACATGCATGATCCTATACTGGTTAATATAAAAAGACTTAGTCACTGTTTTTTAGGCACATACGAGCTAAAGAATGAAATATATATATGTATATACACATACACACAAATATCTTTATATATATGTATGCATGTATGTGTGTGTGTGTATATATATATACAAACTTAATTTTTTCTGTAGGCTAGAGGTTTTATTTCTTA